TGATGCCGGTATCGGGCCACGGATCATTTTGTGATGCCAGTACCGGGCCGTGGCACAAAAAAGGTTGGGGGCCACTGCTCTACTTGACCTCTCTGTGGCTTTTGATACCATTGACCATGGGGTTCTCCTGGGGCAGCTTCAGGGGGTGGGAGGGGGAGGCCTTGTGCTGTCCTGGTTCACTTCCTTCTCTGTGACTGTTCTCAGTCAATGTTGATAGGAGGGGAGAGATCCAGCCCTCGCCCACTTCTTTACAGGTTTACGCAGGGCTCAGTACTCTCTCCACTCCTGTTCAACATTTATATGAAGCTGCTGGGTGAGATAATCTGTCACCATGGACTGAAGTATCACCAATATGCTGATGATACTCAGCTATATGTCTCAGCCCATGGTAAGTTAAATGTTGCTGTTTCCTCCCTCTCGCAGTGCCTGGAGGCTGTTAGGGGCTGGATGGGGAGCAACAGGTTGAAACTAAACCCTTGCAAGACCTAGTGGCTCTGGGTTCATTGGCTCAGGGAGAATTGCTACCTTTGATCATGTGGCACTACCCCAAACAGACCCTGTGTGTAATCTAGGGGTTTTCTTGGACTCACGACTCCTGCATGAAGAGGAGGTGATTTGCAAGGTGGCAGCCGGGAGGGCCTTTGCGCAACTGCGGGTTGTGCACCAGTTACGCCCTTTCCTGGACCAGTGGTCCCTACTCACAGTCACTCATGCCCATGTCACTTCTCATCTTGATTATTGCAACGCGCTCTACATGGGGCTGCCCTAGAAGAACACCCGGAAGCTCCAGTTGGTGCAAAATGCAGTGGCCCGCATGGTTTTGTGCAGACCCCATGTGCACATGTTTCACCTCTCTTGCGGGAGCTGCATTGGTTGCCAATTTGCTTCTAGGTGCAATTCAAGGTGCTGATTGTCACCTTTAAAGCCTTTCATGGCTTGGGACCAGGTTATCTGAGGGAACGTCTCTTGCCGGTCATCTACCCGACCCATTAGAGCGGGGAGGCAGGGAATGCTGCGGGTCCCATCCCTGAGGGAGATACACCTGGTGGGACCCAGAAGAAGGGCCTTCTCTATAATGGCTCCCTCTCTCTGGAACATCATTCCCTCACAGATTAGAATGGCTCTCTCTCTAACACTCTTCCAGAAGGCACTGAAGACCTGGTTCTGCCAGTGGGCCTGGGGAACCCAGAGCAGGATGGAGCCCAGCAAATGGCTCAGGTGATCTGCTGTCGTCGGGGTGGGGGTGGGTGGGAGTTGGGGGAGGTTATTTATTTTTCCCCCAGATTTTGTTCTATTGTACTTTATTAATTTATTTGATTCTTTTTGTTAGTTTTTATTGTTTTTTTTATTTTAAATATGGTTTTACATTCCGTAAGCTGCCTCGAGTCGCCATGAGTGAATAGGCAGCAATATAAATGCAATAGATAGATAGATAGATAGATAGATAGATAGATAGATAGATAGATAGATATAGAGATAGAGATAGAGATAGAGATAGAGATAGATAAATATAGATATAGGTAGATAGGTAGGTAGGTAGGTAGGTAGGGAGAGAGAGAGAGAGAGAGAGAGAGAGAGATAAATATAGATAGAGATAGATAGGTAGATTTAGGTAGGTAGATAGATAAATATAGATATAGATAGATAGGTAGATATAGATTGATAGATGATAGATAGATAGATAGATAGATAGATAGATAGATAGATAGATATAAATATAGATATAGATAGATAGATAGGTAGGTAGGTAGGTAGGTAGGTATGTAGATAGATAGATAGATAGTGTTGTATTGGTCGGACGGACACACCAGGCAGACACAGGAGCTGAAGAATAACGTTTCTTTATTTGAAGCAGTAACAGATTAACGTGGCTGCCCAGCTGGGCTGGCAGCCGGCTGGCTGGAGCCGGAGCCCCAACTGCCCCCCAGCTGATGCCGTTTGACAGCTCCTTATATAGTCTGCTGTCAAACGGCACCAACCAATGGGAACAGTCAGATGGTCCCGCTCAAAATGCGGACCAGGTTGAAGACTTAGCTAGTCAGGGACACAACAGATAGATAGATAGATAGATAGATAGATAGATAGATAGATAGAGATAGATAAATATAGATATAGATAGATAGGTAGATATAGGTAGATAGGTAGGTAGGTAGGTAGGGAGAGAGAGAGAGAGAGAGAGAGAGAGAGAGAGAAATATAGATATAGATAGATAGGTAGATATAGGTAGGTAGATAGATAGATATAGATATAGATAGATAAATATAGATATAGATAGATAGGTAGATATAGATTGATAGATAGATAGATAGATAAATGCCTAAGAGCAGGAAAGAGTACCAAGGGCCTAATTCTGGCTGCACAAGACCAAGCCTTAAGGACAAATGCATACAAGTCCAGAACTGAGAAGATAGCAAGAGACAGTAAGTGCCACCTATGCAAAGAGGCTGAAGAAACAGTGGACCGCTTACTTACCTGCTTACTTACCTGCAAGAAGATTGCACAGACTGACTACAAACAACAGTACAACGAAGTAGGAACAATGGTGTATTGGAAGATCTGCAAGAAATACCATTTGCCTGCGAGCAAGAACCGGTGGGACCATAAAACAGATAAAGGAATAGAAAATAATGAAGTTTAAATGTTCTGGGATTTTAGAATTCAAATAGACAGGCATGTGCCACACAACACCTTAACAGTTGTCGACAAGAAAAAAACAAAAAAGTCTGGATAGTGGATGTGGCAGTGCCTGGAGACAGCAGAAGAGAAGAGAAAGAACTGGAGAAGATAACAAAATACAAAGACCTACAAATAAAAATAGAACAATTATGGCAAAGGCAAGCAAGGGTAGTACCAAAAGTAATAGGTGCCTTGGGTGCAATCCCAAAACAACTGGAGCACCACTTGAACACTATAGACATTGACAAATTTGTTATCAGTCAATCAAGGCAGCTTTACTTGGAACAGCTTTCATCCTGAGAAGATATCTGCAATACCATCAAGCATCTAGATTTGCCTATCCCAGGTCCTTGGTAAGGACTTGATAGGTAGACAAAAATGCCAAACGCAGACTGAACATCTGGCTGACTGTGCGATGATTACTAATGATTACTAATACTACTAATAATAATAACAGTTGAAACTGCTTCACATTTAATATGTGAGTGCTGCAAAATCGCACAAACTGATTACAAAGCTAGACTTGACTGAATTGCTAAATTAATCCACTAGTCATTATGTAAAAAATATTACTTACCTGTATCTGAAAAGTCATGGGAACATAAAGTGGAAAAAGTTGTCAAAAATGAGAAGGTGAAGATCTTGTGGGACTTTCAAATAAAGACAGATCATCATTTGGAACACAACACGCCAGATATCACAGTTGTCGAAAACAAAAGCGTACAATTCATTGATATTGCTGTACCAGGAGATGCCAGAATCAAAGAAAAAGAACTGGAAAAAAAATCATAAAATATCACGATGCCACTGAAACTACATGATTATGGATGAAACATGTAACAGTGATACCCATTGTCATTGGGGCACTTGGTACCATGTCCAAGAATTTTATAAAATACATTAAGAAATTGCAGCTTCCTGCAATAACACCAGTGGAACTACAAAAAAACTGCGCTACTCAGAACATCGTACATCTTAAGAAAATACTTGGTTGATACCTAGGATGCTGGCAACAACCCGTATCAACCATTAGCACCAGACAATTATATTTGTGATACATTTTTAAATGTTCAGTTGACTGAATTTCATGTTTAATGAAAAAAAGAGATAATAATAAATTCCAAAACATCTGGAGCACCAACAAAATTACCATCAATCAATTATAAAAGTGAAAGCTGGAACAGCTGATGGGAAGTCATTGACATGAATATAACTGAGCATAGAATTACAGTTGTAAGTTGAGGCACCTACATAGTTAGAAAATTACTTTTTTGCAGCACACATTAGACAAATCCATTTCTTTGGGTGTCTTTCATGAGGACATGGCAAAAATGCCAGAAACTGGCACAAAACCTTGTACAAATGTGAAACACTGCAACCAGTTGGGCAGTCATGTGGCAGTGGGGGAGGTGGAAACATGACCATTTATGATGATCAAGGGTGCTTTATAGGCTGTAAAGCATTCCGTGGCTATCATACCTTCAGTCATAAAATGATCAGTTGTTAAGCAAGGACTACCAATATATCCTGCAACACTTTAAGACAGTAAGTATACTGTCAAATCTTTCTCTCCCTAGCCACCCAAATTTTTAACAAATAAGGGGCTGAAGACTTACTTGTTTTGCTTTATTTTTGTGGTGATATGATTTTTTTATGGCTAATGTCCAGGTTAGTTTTGAAATATTGTTCGTGAAATAAGAATACATTGTAGTTATTAATTCTACTTTTTCAAATATTCAAGTTTGTAATAAACTTTGCTAGGATATATGCCAGGATATATGCGGAGTCTAACAATCAATTGCACTTTATTTTTGTTTTTGATAAAATGATTGCTCATTACTATTGCTTGCCTAGTTTAATATGTTTCATTAAGAGTTGAACATTTCTGTTGACTTGTAGCATATACACCAGACAAATCTCAGGCCATTGCATAATCTCTCAGTTATATTAAAACATAATGACAGTACAGAATTAGAGACCAATATTAAAATGTCTTTCAACTGTTATATCTATAGAAAATGTAAATAACCGTATGTTTTTTCCCAGAGAATATTAAATATACATGTAGCACTCTGTATCTAGATTAATAGTTTATGGATTGTTATGGAAACATAAATCCTATGATATATTTAAAGCAGTCACTGATTCTTGCATAAACAAAATATACCCCATTGACTAGTTTATACAAGTAGGCCTCATTAATTTTTATACTGAATCTATTTAAGTTTCCTTGTGTAGATTTTAAAGGAAATAAATTATTTATAATCAATGAGAAATGGATGCTCAGATGTAAAGTTGCATATCCTAAAATGTCCTAGTATAACTGTTCCTATTCATTTGTGTAATGCCTGAATTAAGACTCTGGACATGCATTATTTGCAGACTTATAACAGCTGGAATACAGTCAGGTACAGTCAGTTCTGTTTTTATTACTTTGTAAGTGATCTTAAAAGTGATTCAAGGAAGTGAACACACTTTCCTCCTTCTATTTTCCCAACAGCAACAATCGTATGAGGTGTGCTGGCTTACCTGCCTAAGGCAGGTGGTTTCTAGCCTGATACCTTAACCTCTACACTATACTAGCTATTTTATTATTTTATTAACAAGAAAATATATTTCATCCTTTCTTTCCACAAAAGATGTCTTGGCAGCCAATAATGCAATTTAGAAACCCATGCTTTTTTGTACAGAAATAAAACAATCATCTCAAAGATTAAAATAACATTTAGCTGAATTCTAAAATAGCCTCCTCTTCTCCCCATACCTAGTACAAGAATTACACAGCCACTAGGATGTCTTTTCTACAAATTACTGGTCTTCTTGTATGTTGAGTATGGAACACTGTGGTTCTACTATAATGAAACCACATTTTTCTTTATAAAGTTCAAATTAAAAAGAGGAAGAAAAAGAGAAAATGAAACAAAATTAACAAGCCAAAATATGTTATTTGTTCTAGAAACTTCTCCTAATATTCCAGCTCAAATAAGTTTGAAAAATGCTGTGAGTTCATGTTGTTACTGACTATTCACTGATCATTGTCTAGTTTATGTCTCACCATATTTGCTATATTCTTCTTTTGTGTTTCTAATGGATAGACTGTTCTGGAAACTATTTCCCATGGATTATCCAGACAATGTTTACAAAATATGTCATTTTCACAAATGTTTAGAATTGCTTGTCGTCTTTTGAAAGTTAGAAATAGCAGCAATAGCTGTAAGGCAAAAGCACTGTGAGATCTGTCAGAGATTAAAATACCATAATTATGTCTTCGAGTGTTCTAATCTATTCATTATTTTCTGGGTATGAAGCCAGACAAGGAAAGTAAATTCTGCATGTAGTCTATGGTATTTACATTTCTGTCGTCTATATCAATGCATGTAGGCGATAACTCTGAAGTCTTGTCCTACTTGTAGACAAGTTTCTGCTACCCTAAATCTGATGACACTGTGAGGTTGTTATTCTGACAAGTAAAATGAAGGCAAGGTTATTGGAAACTTTATGGATAAATCATATTTAATCCATCATCAAATAACTATTTCTATTAGAAAATTTTATTTAATAAGTTATTTAATGAATGAGAATCTTGGTTTGTACAGTCTGTTTATCTCTCTTCTCAGAAGTTTGTAAAGTATCCAAGAAGGATTCTCTGGACTAGGGATTATAATTAAATATGAGAACAAATCTGTTACCAGAGATGGCATTCAACAAGTTCTGACCAATTCTGGAGAACCTGAAGCGGAAATTTTGAGTAGTTCGGAGAACCGGCAAATACCACCTCTGACTGGCCCCGCCCCATCTATTCTGGAGATCTTACAGTATCCTTCCCCTGCCACGCCCACCAAACCACACCCACCAACCGGTAATAAAAAAAACTTGAATCCCACCACTGGTTGTTACATACTTCGCCATAATACGAGATCCACATGCCATACAAAGCTCTTCAAGTGCCAGATTTGTATGGCTCCAGTCATGAAAAGAATGAAATGGAAGTAAATCAAATTGGTTGTGAGTAGCTAGCATGGATTGTCAGCACTACATCCTCCTTGCCAATCTAAAGACCGAGTTTAAATATACACCATCTCCAAGGCATGTCTTTAACACATAAATTTAGGAGACTCCATTAGTTCTCTTGGGTGAAGATATAGTAAAAGTTTTCTTTTACTTTACTAAGTTTTATTATACCATTAAAAATAAATAAAACCATACATCTACGCTTACAATTGCTGCAGTTACCCTGTATTTAGGCTGGCTTGGCTTTAAAGTGGCATAGGAAATCTTCTCTGGGCTGAGACCCTTTGACAGTAACTTGCAAGTTATTCAGTCTGTGCATATATGTCCTCCCATCTTTGTGTTGCAAGAAAACAATGGCCAGGAACTTTCCTTCTTCTGGATGGGTCTTTAGTTATTATGCCCACTCGTATTATACCCACAACTGAAAGCTGTGAAGAACCCTCCTGCCCAAGTAACCTCTTTGGTGTCCTGGACCTATATTCATTTATGTGCTTGTTTGCCTCTGTGTGTATCTATATATATTTACACATACACCCAGGGTCAAATTTATATTTGTAAGCATCAAGATGCATATACATTAAGACATAAATGGCTTAAACATTAATTTTAAGTATTCTTCTTTCTAGCTTTCAGTTTAATAAGTTCTATATCTCCATTTACCAGCATAGGTAGTACTCAAGTTTAGTGACAATTCAAAGTTACAATGGCATTGAAAAAAGTGACTTATGACCATTTTCCCCATTTACAATCATTGCAGCATCACCTTGGTCACGTGATCAAAATTCAGATTCTTGGCAACTGACTCATATTTATGATGGTTGCAGTGTCCCTGGGTCATGTGATCGTCTTTTGCGACCTTTTGACAAGCAAAGTCAATGGTGAAGCCAGATTCACTGAACAAACTTTTAGTATTTATTTGATTTGTCAATCGCTTACAAGATACAGGTATAAGAATAAATATAGTTTTGAATACATGAAATAGATACTTATAAGAAAAATAAAAAAACAATAGGACAGGGACGGTAGACACGATTGGTGTGCTTATGCATGCTCCCTACAGGCCTCTTAGGAAGGGAGTGAGGTCAATAGTAGACAGTCTAAGGTTAAAGTTTTTGGGGTTTGGGGAAGAAACCACAGAGTCAGGTCGAGTATTCCAAACACTGACCACTCTGTTGCTGAAGTTGTATTTTTTGCAGTCAAGTTTGGTGCGGTTAACCTTGAGTTTGTATCTATTGTGTGCTCTTGTATTGTTGTGATTAAAGCTGAAGTATTCATTTGCAGGTAGGACATTGCAAAGTATGATTTTATACACTATATTTAGATCGGGCCAGAGGCGGCATAGTTCTAGGTTTTCTAGGTCTAGAGTTTCAAGTCTGGTGGCATAAGGTATTCTGCAATGAGTAGAGGAGCGGAGAACTCTTCTTGTGAAATATTTCTGGACTTTTTCAATTGTGTTAATATCAGATACATGATATGGGTTCCAGACTGAGGAGCTGTATTCAAGTATAGGTCTAGCAAATGTTTTTTTTTAAATAAAAGTTTTATTTAAGTTTTCACAAAACATACAAATACAAATAAAATATCTTTTTTTGAGAACAGCATTGCCCCGGGTTATCACTTCTCCATACAGACATAAACTCAATACATATTTATCTTATACATTCTAATCCATATCTTATAACTATTTTCACAATTTTTCAATAGCTTTTCCCTTTCTTTACTTCCTATAGCCTTATTTTAAATTATCTCATTCCTTTCTTAATTCAATTACATATCTTTTTCTAATTTTTAAAATCTTTCTGATCAATGTTTTTATACTTTTGTCTGTCCTGTTTACAATTTCATATTACCTTTTCTCATAAAACAAATTTTCCCCTGTAATTACTAGACCTTTGCATCTTTTTTCAAATCTTATTTAAAAATTTAAGTTACATCTTTACAGTTGTAACATTCATTTTCTAACCTCTATTTTATAGCACATACCTATTTTCAATTGAATTCTGCTTGGTACATTCCCTTAAAATACACACTAAATTCTTAAAAGAAAAAAGTATATATGTATATATATATATCTGTTTTCGTAGATTTTCACGGGTACAGACATGTAGGTCTAGGTGTGTTCGGGTCTTTTCCCGTGTAAGATTAAGAGTATCTTGGCGATATTTCGGTGAGGATGGCGAGTGGGACCTTGCCAAAACGTCACCAAGATACTCTTAATCTTACACGGGAAAAGACCCGAACACACCTAGACCTATGTATATATATCTGTGTATATATGTATAACAATTGTAAATGGAATAATTATTCTGCCATTAATATTAATAACAATCTTTTATGTTTCTATTTCTTTTAACAAACATTACCTAGTAATATCAGTTGTCTTTCACTTTAATCATCTATATTTCATATTTTACTTATTACTGTCTTTAAATAAAAAACCAAACAATAGTTATTAACAGTAGTCAATAAAGTTATTATTTTTATTCAAGTTCATCTTATCAACTGATAAAAATCGTCCATGTTTCTTTTCAGTTTTTTTTTAAACGTTCTTTTTAAATCATTGAGAGCCTTATTCTCTTTACAAACAAATATTCCACTACACATCAATAGAAATTTTTTCTATCACTTTAATCATCTAACATATTATATAATAATGCTATCCCATGCACTCTTGCAGAATCCTCTCAAGTTAAATTTTAACCATTGTCTCTGTGTCTTTTAAATAGGTTTATACCTTTAATTCTTATACGTTTTTCCTGTACCTCTATATCTTGTTTCTGTCTTTTGTAGCTTCTTTTCCTTTCCCTCTTCCCTCTCTTCTTCTCCCTCCCCTTTTTATTCCCTTTTCTATCTGTTCTCCCTTCTGTGATCCTCCCTTCTGCTTCTTCCTGATATTATGATTACTTTTCAAATTGCTCTTTTTTTGGTTGTTGCTTCAGTGCTTAAATTTTTAACTTCCTTTCCCCCCTTTCCCTTTTTTACCCTGCTTAAAATTGCTTGGTCATTAAAGATGGCTTCTTCGTTGTCCCACCCTTCTTGTTCTGCCAGCGTTTCTTGTTGTTTTTCATAGTTTAAGATCTCCATTTCTATAAATTGAAATACAAAGCCAAAAGATCCTCTTCCATCTTGTGCTTCTTCTTTTTGTTCTTTAAGTCTCATTTTTAACTCTTCAAGGACTGATGCCATTTTAAAAAAAATTAAACAACCCCAAATTGATTTTATTTTATTTTATTAGGATCCTCCATCCAAAGTTCCAGGAATCATTCAATAATCCAAAACTGTTTCTTGCTTCTTTTCTCACTTTCTCTTTCCAGGGGCTTTGTTCTCTTGTAACAAAGTTTCAGCTACAATGTATCTTTTGCAAGCCTTGTTAAAATTCCACTATCAATTTTTTTTAAAGTTCCAGGTGGTCTACTCCATTTTCCAGATTCCACCCTCTTTTTTCCTTTTTCCCTCCGCTGCTTTCTTTCTTTTTTTAAAAAATAAAGTTTTTAACTTATCCAAGAATCTTTATCCCTTTGACACTTTATTTTCAGCTAGAAATAGCCTATTAATATCAAAGTGGATTAGTATCAATTTCTTATTTGAATCTCTTCTTCTTAATGTTCCAAGTCAGTAAAACTGTCGATGTTAGAGGAAAATAAGCCAATTCTGCTTCCTCTCCCTTTCTCTTTCGCAGCTTAAAATCTTTTTTAGGAATAGTATTAGTCTTTAAAATTCAGGTTCCAGATACCTTAGATAGATATTCTCCATTCAACCTGGGTCAGTCAAACTTTCTCCTTTAAACTTCCTCCTGCACAATCTTGTCTGGTCGGGTTCTTCTTCTGACCACCGCTGCAACCGCCTTTGGGAAAGGGAGTAATGGCTAGCCAAGGAGGAGAGATGCGGCTCTCCTCAACCCCGCTGATGGCTCCCCCTTCTTCACCACCTCTACGGGGTGGCTTCAGCCCCGAATCTGGGCAGCTCGGGGCGCTCCAGCGGCAAGCACGGATCAAAACTGCAGACGATCGCGATTTCAGTCCGTCACCGAAGAAGCCCAAACCAGAAGTCCCCCACGTCTAGAAAATGTTTTGTATGCTCTAGTTAGTAGTGTGATATTACCAGAGAAGAAGCTACGTAGGATTAGATGAACAACTCTTAATGCCTTTTTGGCTATGTCTAGTACTTAGATCATTTGAGATGAGTACTCCAAGGTCCTTGACAAAGTTTGGATCCTCAACAAGGTCATGACTATTTAGCTTGTATTTTATTTTCTGATTTTTTCTGCCAATATGTAAGACAGAGCATTTATTTGTTGAGATTTGAAGTTGCCATTTGATTGACCATTCTGATACATAGTCAAGGTCTTTTTGGAGGGTAGTAGTATTGTCTGTGGTGTTGAATAGCTTTACATCATCAGCGAAGAGAATGCAGTTGCTCTTGATATGATCACAGAGGTCATTTATGTAGAGTATGAAAAGAGTTGGTCCTAGAACACTGCCTTGGGGGACACCACTGTTGACAGGTACAGAATTTGATAGGATGCTCCCAATTTTGACCATTTGTTGTCTGTTTGACAGGAATGCTTCTATCCAGTTATGTAGGTGTCCAGAGATACCATAAGATTTTAGTTTTAGTAGTAGTTTGTCGTGTACCACTGAATCCAAGGCTTTACAGAAGTCTATGACTTGTTATTAACTTAATAACTGCAGTGATTCTCTCAACACCTATGTCAAGAAAAGTTGTAAAACTTAACAAATGTCTCAGCAACAAAAATATTCAGTTGTGGTTGTAAGTCGAGTACTACCCGTGTTAAGGACTAGTATAGTGGTTGAAATGTTTTCTTGACAAG